GGCAACTAAAAGTTTAATTCATATTGGTCCCTATCTGCTGCTTGGATTGTAACTTTTGTTTATTTAATTGTAGTATTGATGATTAGTTTAAATATGGGTTTAGAAAAGTATGAAAAATGGAATTGATGAATTTTTATCATTAAACTGTGTTTTGCAGTCATTAAAACAAACTGTTGTTGTCATCTCTCCGTTAATTACTTTTAGAACGTTGAGTTCAATATTATTGCAGAAAAGCTGGCTTTTCTGCTCAAGTTAACATGTTTAGCAAGACTGAGTTCCTGTTACATTCACAAAATTATTCCTTCAAAGGGAAAAGAAAAAAAAAAAAATTTGGGCAAAGAAAAAAAAATTTAAGAAGTTGCTAAACCAAGGAGCCTTCAGAATGGAACAGTGCTACTTTCTTAACATCTTTAAATTATGGACAAAACAGTTTTAATCAAATCATTCTACTGAAAGAAGAACTAAATGTCAGTGTTTTGTTTTAGTTGAAGTAGTAGTTCTTGAGGATGGAGATGTGAAAAATATTTGACAATTGAATTGCAGAATTTTTCTGATGGAATTTTTCTGCTTTTTCTATTGTTATCCTGTCCCAAGCAAAAACTTTACATTTCCATTGAGTCATAAAACAAACGAAGTAAGCCTAAAAAGAAGTTTAGAGAGGAACTGTGAAGTTCAAGTGTTGCAATTTGAGATGATTAATATTTAGGGGGTTTTTTAATGCATTGTTTTTGAGTCCTCTAGCTGTTCAGATAGCCTCAGGTTCTGGAGAAATTTGACTAATTTAGCTTGTGTTTCTAATTTGCTCCCTTGTATCTTATTAATGTGTCTGTTGTGTTAAAATGTTCTGTGTCAGTGATGACTGATCTATAGCTGATAATAATGCTGCTTTGTTGTTGGTTTTTTTTAAGTGGTGCTCTTACGTGCTGTTAAGCTGCAAAGATGGGTGGTTATGACCCCAAGTGGGAAACATGTTTGGTACAAATACTATTTTACAGTTTGAGTTTGACAGAGGAACTAAGAGTTATCCCTTCTGTTTCTTGTTAGCTGAGTCAGTTTTGGTCCTAGTGAAATCGTTGTAAATAGCAGTAATTTATTCTTTAGGTAATTGGCACAGTTTTAAAGTATTTGTATTTCTGATGCTCACTCCTCTTTAACCTCGAGAATAGGAATGGATATTTAAAGGCTGTGCAACTTGTAATAGTGAATTTATTCTGGATAAGCTCATCAGTTAAAATGTTTTGAGTGAATAACCTTCTTGCAGATGTACCGCCAGTGATGTTTTTCTCCCTGTGGTGGTCTAACAGGCTGTGAAGTGTGAGATGTTCTCCTCTCAGAAGCTTCAGCCAGTTCTAAATCATGTTATTGAGCAGGAGTCATTTGTCGTAATTGTGATACTGCTGAAAAATTTTACTGCCCTTCTTACAACGTCCTTGATACATATTTTAAAATTTAAAATACTGCTGCTTTTGAAGCTTTTTGAAGTTAACGTAGCATTAAAGCAGTATGATTCCTTTTGCTTTTAACATACTAGCCCATATCCTAATGAGAAAGAGAGAGGGAGAGAGAGTCTTTAAGGAAATATTTGCTGTGGATCCTGGTATAGCTGACTCTCTGAATTGCAGATTTAATAGCTTATGATCTTTCTTGGGTTTTGGTATCCATTAAAAATTAAAGGCTTTATAATTCAATTTCCCTGAATATTTATTATCTCTAGCTTTTATTTTGACATTGTGCATGCACAGACAAGGAAAATCTTATGTGTACCTGCACTGTTTTCATAATTTTCCTTACCTTTTGTGATTTTAATGAACAGAAAGCTCAGATGACTTGAAAAAAGAACATACTACTGTCAAGTACAATCTCCCATTCTTGATGTTTTAAGATACTGGGGGAGGCAAAGTTTAAACTGTATTTTATTAAATGGTTTATGCAGGTCATATTTGGTTTTGGAGAAGGGAAGGCATTCTTTATATAGGCTTTGTATTCAAGTCGGTTTATCACAGATGTTCCAAAAACAGTGTTGTCTTTTTAATTATAGCAAGAGAAATTTCGTCAAAAAGGTGTGCCGACACCACTTATATTTGGTATCAACGCTGTAGACAGAGAGCCTGCCTTGGATGTCAGTAATGTTAATAGTGAGCAGATCAGCATGGAGTCGGGAACAGAGGGACATCTATTTCAAAACATCAGTTTCAAGCATCAGATGATGTCCTTACATTCACTAAGTTTCATAATGTAACACGAAAGACAAAAATACCTCCCACACAAATGTTTTCAAACCTCCCATGACACTGACAACAGGGAACAAAGTATGTCATGAGCAAGGGACAGGAACAACCCTGAGGTGTGGGTAGACAGCAAGGCTTCTTGTCTCACTTTCTGGTCAAAACAACTGTGCAGAACTGCTGCTGCCTCTCATCCTGCACTGCTAGAAGACAGTTGATAGACCAGCACTGGGCCCGTGCGCCTCTTGGTGTGCTACTCTTTTGCCATCTTCGTATCATTTTTCCATTTCGTCAGAATAAAAACCGCAGGGGGATCCGGGAAGCATTCCACAGAAACATAGTTGCTTTGTATTATTTGGTCCATTGTTTGGCTATTTTGTTTGCCTTTTTAAAAGTCTAAAAACGATACCAAGCTTCATTGAATGAGTCACATGCTCTTTCACTGGGGGTTGCCGTGACTACCACACCTCGGTGAATCACAGTGTAGTTTTAGGGATCTGTTCTTCTCTGATTCCAATTCCCAGAGCCTTTGCATTTTGGGTCGCTGGAAATGGACTGTTTTGTAGTTTATATCCACTTTGCATCAGGATACTATAGTTATTCAAGCAGTTCCTTAAGCAGCTCTTGAATCCAGGAATCTTAGGATCCTGTTCCTCTCCTGAGTCATTCAGGTGCTTTGATGCAGTTTTGAACTCCTGTGAGTGATGCTAGTTCTTGGTTGGTTGTGTTTCGTTTTCTTTATTCTGACATGTGGGATCTTTTGGTTTCACTGGTTCAGTCTAGTGACTTTTGAGTCAAGTCTGCAATGGCAACTGTTGACTGACTTCCACCTTGGAAGCTTAACTAATCTGGGGTTACCCAAAATAAGGACCATTGTTTTTATCCGTATCAGTTTCTGTGTTGGTGTCATAAGAGTTTGTTTATACTATGAAAAATCCTATTTTGGTGAGAGGGTTGAAATATGGTTTAAGCCTTGTCACAAAGAGTTCAAAATACAATATTCTGCCTCATTAAAAATGTAGCTATCTTTAGTTAAATAATGTTAAAAAAAAAAAAAAAAAAAATGGAACTAGCTGGCAACTGGACTAGTGCTGCAAGAAGTTACTTTACTTGCAGCTGTCTTAGTCATGCCATGGCTTTATACAGGCAGTTACAGTGGATCTTAAGGACTGTGTGGAATGAAGCAGGAGGATTCACAAGGTTAAGTGGACAGTTTACATGTATGTCTGGTATAGCAACAATTCAGGGATGACCTTTACTGAAAAAAAAAAATAGTGCTTGGGAGCAATTTCTGTGTAAGTAGACATGCAGGAAGCTGAAGAATTCTGCTCATTTAGTATGTTTTTCTAGGTTTTAATCAAGAAGACAACACTCTGGGTTTTTTTTCTTGGTTTCAGCACCTGGGAGCTTGTTTTAAAGACTGTAGGATTGAAGTCGTAATTATTGCATAGGCTCTGCACTCAGTGATTTTTTAAATTCTTCCAAAGTTAAGTAATTTTAAACTATAATGTGGATTTCCAAGGGGATATAGTCTGCAGACTTATCATTCCTGGTAAGCTACTTAAACAGAAGTCAGATCACTTTGCTTGCAGTAGAACAGGAAGAAAACCACAAATGGTTAATGCCTAACTTGCAGTGATTGATTATAGAAAATATGGGCATTTTTTATAAGATTAATATTTTTCAGTGAAGAAAAAAAAAAGTAAAAAGCTTTTTAAATTCACACATGCAGTTTCTTTCATCCAAAATGGTATTGTGAATCTCTGGTTTTCTCTGTATGACTCTTAATTTCTCTAGATGCAGTCTAAAAATAAAAAAGTAAATTTTCTAACTGCCCACCTCAACAGTAACAGGGCCTTAGAAAATCAGTCACTGTTCCTTTGTTTTCCCATGCATTATCAAGGTCTGCACCAGGTGTAATACAGTTACAAGTGACTTGCTCTAGTTAATGTAAGAGTAATGAGACCCCTTAAAATTATACTAAATTTTCAGGACTTAAAGAAAAATATACTTAGGAAACAGTGTTGAAAGTCTGTGGCTGTACTAACTGAGGTCAGCCTGGCAGAGGAGAAGAGGATTTCAGTCATTCAATACCCTGAAAAATGGGGAACAAAGTCTTGTAACTATATTCATATATAACATTGGAAAAGTCTTTCTGATTTTGAAATGAGGAATATTTCAGTATCATTTTTCAGTGTTTATCAAAACCAATTATGTAAGTTGATTTTAGCGATGTAGATTTTTACTGATTTTCTTGACAAGAAATTTCTCTGCTCTATATTTTTACATTATTACAATATATTACACCATGTTCTTCCCTCCCCGCCGCTCCCCCCCTCCTGGAAGAAAGTTCCTGTGGAAAGGAAATAGGAACCAAACTTTGAAATCTAAAATAAGGACTAAACTGCTTTTCATTTACTTTTCTACCCTTTGAGATGCCAGAAGCAATTTCCTCTTGAAGCTGACTTCCTTTCTGGAAATGATTTTCGTCTCCAACCATGTTGAGGCTCTTTTCTCATTCTTTCATTCTGACTAACTTGCTTTTTTCCCCTCTGACTTGCCACTGCAGTTGAGTAGAACTTCTGGAGGTAAGTAATTACAGACAAGTTTCTCTCTAACTTTCTTTTTCAGTTCTGCTCCCCCCTACGGCCCCCCCTTACCCAGTCAGTCTAGAAGGACAAACAAAGCACTATTGGTGTCCTCTGCAAGAGAGCACTGATAGGGGGCTGGCTGTAAATTGACGTGGCATGGAAAATCTCTGCTAGTTTGTAGCAGCTCAAATATTACTGTGAAATCAAGCCTACTCTTACCAAGTTTGTAGCTTGAAATCATCACGGGCTTACTGTTTCTATATAAAAAATGAATGGAAAGTACCTTCGCTTTTTGATTTGGGAACCGGACTTGTTCTGTATTTGGATTTACAGCTAATAGAAAACAAAATCGAAGGGAATTATTTGGTTACTTTGTTTTTTTCCCCTGTAGTGAGAGCGACAGATCTTGCTGCTCCCCCCACTCTTCCTGCGATTTAATCATTTGCAGATCTTGCCATGGGGTGCGGACTGAGAAAGCTGGAAGACCCAGATGATAGCAGCCCTGGAAAAATCTTTTCTACATTGAAGAGACCACAAGTTGAAACAAAGACGGATTCTGCTTATGAATATGTATTGCTGGATTTTACTTTAGAAGGTATCTTTTTATGTTATATCTTTACTATTCTGAGAAGGCAAGGAATAGGATTTAACTTAGTTCTGTCTTGTTTGACTTACAGTAAATCTTAGATACTTTTATCAAAGCTAGCCAAAACGTAAGACTTTTATTTTGATACACAAATCATGACGAAGGTCATCACTTAGAGAAAATTACAATGGAAACTACTGAAGTATTTTTAACAACCAAACTCTCCAAATTACACAACTGTCCTTGTTAAGGAAGCTGGCTAAAAACTGTTAGAGATTTTCCTAGTTTCCTGTGAGTCAGATACTGCTATCCATACTCGCTTTGAATAATGGTTGTCTGAATTCAGTGTGACGGTTCAGAAAATACACTGTGCCTGAGCATTAGTTGAATAACAATTTTTTAAAATGCGCTCAACTTTTGCAAACAGGCTGTCATTGTCCTTGTTACTTTATGCAGAAGTAAGTCTGTTTCTTAGTTGTATGCCAGGAGTAGCTTCCCCTCTTACGCCCGCCCCAGTCTCTTGGTAGATATTTTAGTAAGAGTCTTAGTTTCGTCTTACTATTTTTTCCAAATGCTTTATTTGTAGTTGTTGAATAGTCTTTTGAAGTCATGACCAAAATGAAACAAAATTTGTATGCGTAGCTAGAGGCAGACAGTGCTCTGTGGGATACTTCCTTCCCGAGGGTGTCCCGTCTCTAACAGAGCAACTCCCTGTTCCACCAAGTTGAAAACATAAACAAGCCCAGATGGCTGCCCTCCGAGAACAGACAGCTCAGTTTTGCAGTCACTTTGTAGTAACTTGCATTTTGTAACAACCCGATCTACTGGAAATTCTTAATAACAAGGATTTTAAGTAAATGCAGTTGCTAGAAGGGTTTGGTAAAGGGAGAAAGTGTAAGTGCATGTCTTGTTACATTTTCAGAAACTTTTTCATAAACAAAACTTGGCCTCTGCTTAGTTTTAACTCTAAATGAAAGGACTGCATTAATAATTTTATTTAAAAGGTATCAGTCTGTTCATTGAAAAACTGCAAGATACTAATAGAAGCCACATTCTATTAAGTTATAGTACTTGACATATGACTGTATTTGTTCTGTTTATTTACACATTTAAAGAGTTTCTCACTGGCTGCTGCTTTTTGAAGAAACAAAACTTTGTGTTGAGTAAGTAGTAGTGGTAATGTACTGGAAATAAAGCTAGGCTGCCTAATGCATACATGAATTACCTACTAATCTACTGATAATAAAAGGATACTAGATTTTTTTTATTGTTTTTTGAGACTGAAGGGCATTTAGTGGTCTTAACAAAATTAGTCAGAACACAGACTATTTATGTTTAAAGTAACAAGTTTCTGGAAGTGATGTGTAAAGGATTTGTTGTAAACGTGGTTGTGACTTGAAAGAAAAAGCACATCAAACAAGTGCAAATAAAGGTGCATCTCTATTATTTTAATAACCTATCCCTACAGCAGTAAAGATTCATTTTCTCCTGTTTAGTCTGATACTCAAAAGTGCTTAGCTTCAGTGGCTTACTGTGGAATTATGAAGGCTAAATAACAGTGAGATCAGTTTTAGATAGTTGCTTAACTTTTGGTTTCTAACTGTGAGCAAGTGGATTTGTAAACATGGGTATTTTTCTGTTGAATTGCTCTAGCTGTGTGTGTATTTGACCTTAAAATATTTTTTGTTTGAGGTCTCTACTCTTTAGAGCTAAGATCATGAATACAGAAAAAAATGGTGTATATACTGTCTTGGAGGCATTTCTGAAGCAACGCAGGATTGGCTAAAATACTGTGGGGCTTTTTTGGTTTTTCCCTTCTACCCCAATCAACTCGCCCACATACTTGTTGCTACTTGAATATCCTTTAGCTAAATGAAACCTAAGCTGAGAGCCTTTTATCACTTTAGACCAAAGTTAGTTTTCACTCTGCTGTCAAGTTGCATGTTATGTCTTCATGGCACTCTGTATCTGCTGATTTCCAGAGCAAGACCTTACCCAACACCTGAGATTTCTGTTTGCCTGAGTGACTTGTTACCACTGGATCTGACACCAAGTAAAACAGAAAATCTGCACTTAGTATCCTTTATAAGATCCTACAGTAAGCTATCATCAAGATAAGTGTAGCAAGCGTAAATGCATTATTTCAGTTTAATATGCCTTATTCTCTGCTTCATCAGATTTATGCTATGTGAAGTCGAAATGAGCCTGCTGGGGAGGCTTTCAGGAGTCCCTGATCTTCTCCCAAGCCATGACGCAGACTAGGTCAACCATGCTGTAGTCTAAATTTGCTGGCTGGAGTCCCTGCACGTCTTAACTAGTCATCAGCAGTGCATTGTACCTTGGCTTCTCCCCTCCTGGTCCCCGAAATACTCGCATCCCAACTGTAAAAATCAGCTTTGGGTTCCGTGGAGGTTCTTCTGCATAAGGAGAATCCCAAATAAGAAAATTACAGCCAGTCTTTTATTTTGGTGGGATTTAATAGTACAAAGGAAAGGGAGCAGTGGACTTTGAAGTGCAATTTTAAATGCTTTTCAAGGATTGTAAATTCTATGGTCTCAATCATGAGGCGTATCTCAGTTACAAAAACAGCTGTTACATTTTGAGGTCAGTTTAACCATAAAGTAGGGATAGTTTAAATACTCCTACTCAAGCATGCTTATGCTTTTTCTACACAACTCTCCTAGTGGGGAAAAGAAGGAATATCGATGCAAGGGTATTTCACTAACAACCCACTAAGATGACATGCTGTGAAGTTCTTGTCACTCTGAATAACAGTATGAATATGTATGAAGTAGCTGTTCTGTCATCATCTTCAATATCGTGCATCTGAAGTTTACTATAAAGCTAGGAAGTTAGCTGTAGTTCTGTTATTTGTAAAAGTATTTTGGCTACCTGGTCACAGCACATCAGGAAGGAAGTTTTCTTAACGAAAAATGGTTAAAACATTTGGAAAATCAGTGAAGTGATGATCACAGTGCATACGTTCTTGCTTTTTTTGGCTCTTGGGCTGTAGAGCAGTTATTTCTTCAATATGTATTTAATATCTCCTGGATTTACTGTAAGTGGAATCATGGGATGGAGGTGTTACTAAGGGCAAAGTATTATCTGTCTATGAAGGGGAGGGCTGTGATGTACTGTCTGCCTGAAAAAAAAAAAGGCAAGGTAGCATAAGAAAGTGCAACAGCTCTGTCCCTATGACTGAGAATGGCAGAGTTTACATTAATAGGTTGAGTTTGCTAGTTATCAGCAATAAACTGTCAATATATATGTTAGTGATACTTTTTGGTTGTGTGCATTTCCTATGATACACATTATTCTGGTTTCTTCTGATAGCTTTTCTGAGCTGTTAAGGTTCTTACAGTGACAACCAAAGTAGGCCTCCATTCCTTTTTCCCTTCAGTAAAAGTTGGTATTTAAAAGCATTTGAGTGTTGTAAAACATTAGTTTCTGGTTTGTGGTTTGGTTTTTTTGTTTGGGTGGGGGGGTTTCTGTGGGGTTTTTCTTGGTTTTTTTGTTTTGTTTTAAAAAACCTCCATAGTGTATGTATATCAGTATTATCCCCATTTTATAGTGGGAAAGCAGTGTAGAGGTTGATATTTTACAGAACACATCACTCGTGAACCAGCAGAATTCTAATTCAGTTTATTAGAATAAAAGATTTAGGCAAACTAAAGATTCATATATCTGGTTTATGATACTTTAAACCAGTAGGATAGGTAGACTTTGTGACCTGTTGTGGTTTTGATAAAGTCGTTAAATTACTTGTCATTGCCTAACTACAATATAGGGTAGGTAGGTAGGTGAAAGGATGTAAGAACATGAAATTAACTTTAAGGAGTACATTTACAAAGTGGCAAGTAAAATTTATGTCATTGCATGTATCTGTTCTTTTTTCTGTCTTTTTTTTTATATTACAGAATCAAAGGAGAATCAGTGTATTTAACTGTTTTCAGTTTATTGTGTGGTTTGCAAGGGAATGTTTAAAGCAGCATGTTAAAATGTTTGTATCTCAAAGTGTTTTGAGGTCACTTAATTCCAACTGAGGCATCCTTTAATACAGTTGGACACTGGTCTTAATGCACTGAAAGTCTTGCAAAGAGAGGGACCCAACAGAACACAAAAAAGTATGTCACATACAGCAAGGGTCACTGATAAACATCATCAAATTCCAAGCCAAGCTGTCTTGTCATAAGTTCATATCTGCAAAGGATGAAAATTTTGATGATGGCAAATATATGCTGGCAAAATTGCTCTTCAGTTACTGTCTGTATATGAGTATTGATTTCCTGCTTTGTGGAGGCTCTGAGAGCATCAATTCCAGTTGGAGTTGAGGGGAATAGGAAATACTGACCACTAGACTTATTGTGGCAGAATATATAATCTATTACCAGTGTGGGATCTTCCTTTTCTCTGTGCAAAAGCTGTGGATCAGACCATTCAAAAAAGGTTCTCCAAAAAGTTTTCCCTTTATCTATGTAGTTTCCCCCAATAGCTATGTAGTACCTAGCTGTTGTCTATTGATTGGAAATGCTTGCACACACTCAGAGGGATCGTCCTTAGAAGTCAGTGACAGCCCATAGCTTGCTTAGGTGACATGTACTTAGGTCTACTGGAAAAAGGAATTGGGACTATGTTAAAATTTCAACCTACAATCCACAGATCGCTTCTAAGGGATCCAAAAAAAGTATTTAAGAAAAACAAACCAATTGTTCTAGGCTTAAATTCATTGTACGGGAATTTACCTCACAACTAGGGCTGAAGGACACTGCTTCAGTATGTCTAAGGCTTTGGCTAGGCAAAATAGTTGCTTTCTTAAGTTCAGATCTATTGTGTGTTTAGATGTTGATGCAGCTCTCAAATTAGCTTGGCAAAGCTAGATCCAACAGAAAGTGTTGCCAAATAGATAAAAAACAGATCATATTAACTTGTAAAATATGTACTTCAACTAGTTGAATACTGTTGAATCAGTTGTGAATCTGCTTTTTCTTGTGTAAATAGAACTGTAGCATTTTTAGTAAATGCCTTGGGGTAGATTTTGTGTGGCTTATATAAAAGGGACTCACCCAAAAAGTATATGGACATACACAGTATAATGTGCTTCTCTTCTGCTTTCAATGCTTTTAGCTTCCTCAAATCCAGAAGTTATCAAGATCAGTTCTGTGTTGGATATAGCATCTAAGGTGGAAGGATATTACAGCAAAGGATATGTTGTAGGAGCTGTTCATCCTATTATACTGCCAATTGGACGTAGGAGGAGTTTCCCTGCAAGTCACATGTATCGAGTGGTACTTTCACGATTAAAATTAAGGTAACAGTGAAATAATTTTAATATATTGGTCCATTACTTAAGCCATTTGTAAGTGGATTGCTCAACACGCATACATTATTATTGAAATGAGCACCTCAGAGAATCAAATAACTGTTCCTTGTCTAGAAAGGTGAGCAAGTTAGTAATGTTTTTTTAATTAACGCTAAGCACACAGCAGACTAATGTTTACTTTGCCTTAGTAAGTCCAAACAAAAATCCAAAGTTGCTTATCATAATTTGTGGGAAGATAAATTTTTAGTTTACCCATTTATTTTTAATTCATCTTTATAATAATGTATCATCTGTCTTAGAACCTGCAGCAGATACAAGATTAAACAAAACACTAGGGGAGTAATAAGCTGCTTTAAATTCTTTCATGTCTGTTTTTCCTTCTTCATTTTCAAAACTCTTGTGTTTTCACTTTTCCCATAAGAGCATTATTCAGGGAAAATGACCTATAAAGTGTGAATTACTTAGAGATAAATAGTTTATTTTTCCTTCTTAATAAGAAGGAAATAATCACTCTGTGATTGGGGAGGCATACAAAAGCTTGGTTTTGACACTGACGGAGAGTCAAGAGTTTGCGTTTATGTTCCAGCTCCATAGTCTTGTTTTCACTGCATTGTAATCACCATGTGATCATAAAGAAAATGTACAAAGAAATTCTACCATTAGTTCCATTGAATGCAAAGAAGATAACCTTTCGTTCTTATTTTGAATAACTAGAAAAGTGGGTTTCTTATTGCATTAGGAGCTGTCATGCTTCCCTTTCTTTCTTAAGTCCTAGTGCGATGCACAAAGGTTCTTTCATTTTCTTTTGGAGGATCGGAAGGGCATGAGTTGGAAGATACCCCCTGCCACTCCAATAAGACTTCTGTAAAACATGGTTCATTTGAGGGAGCTTCTCAAACGCTTTGTTTAAACAAGCATTGTCCATGGTATTTGCTGCTCATACAACTTACCTTTATAAATTCATCTGCAAACAAGGTGAATGTTGTCCATGTGGGCAAATGCTTGAGTAAGAAAAGCAGAATACTTGCTCTCTGGAGCTCAGGCCTTTAAGAGCTGATGCTGCCAGCGCGCAGCTCGCACAATTCGCCTTATCCCTGTAGATGTGGGATGCTTATGAAGTTGTGGTTCGAAAACCTTTAGGTCTTTGAATAGGTGAAGAACGAGACCCTGCAGCCTACATTTGAAACTGTTGGGTGTAGGTTCCCAATTTCCTATGCAGGTGCCATATGTACCTATGTTGGTTTTCCTATAGGCAAATACATCTTCTCTAACTACTATCTGGAAAGTTACCTTTTATATTTGAGTGTGTCTCATTGGTGTTTCATTCTAAAGCAAAAGATTGTGTGAAGGAAACATCAAATAAAATCCCGTTATATTATTGATACACACCAAATATTGTTGTCTGAGTAATAACGTAACTGGCTTTAGATAAAACATGATGAATACTATTCTTTAAATGGAAGTGATTTAAACATTACCTAACACAAAGTAATTGTTACTGCATTGTATTTTTAGTATTTGCCTACACTGTATTTTATACTGCAGCTACAACTCTGCTTTAGTTACAAAAACTAAACAGCAGCATGTTAACAGTGTAAAAGTACCATTTCTATTCATAGTATGTTTTCTACAAAACTGAACCTGTTTTGTGCTTGCTGAATTTATAGCTTAAATTTGGGGTTTTTTGCGTTATCAAAGATTTTTGGATTTGTGTATTACAAAAGCATGGCTGTTTGTCAATAAAGCTCAGTTTCCAAAAGATGTTTATTAACATTCTTCAGATGAAATTCCTGTTAAATATTAATATTCTTACCCTGACATTGTAATACACAGTACCTGCCACTTTGTGTAAGAAACAGAACAAAATACCAAAAACCGCTGAGTTCTAAATAAAAGTATGAAGAAGCATTGCCAGGATTTCATTCATAACTATTCCAAAAGAAAAGAATTCTATATGCAAGCATTTGCCCAAGTTAGCAGCAAACTCCTGACAAAGACTGCTTTCTTTCTGTGTTCTAGCCAGAAGCATGCAGCACCCAGAGGACAAAGGCACCCCAGGCTGGTGATTGAGGAATGTCCTTTAATGTGTGAAACACTGACAAATGAGGTAGTGAAAGAACTGTTAGAAAAGGTAATGGAGGGTTTTTTCAAACTTCTCTTGAGATTTTTATTTTTACCATACATGTAAGTTCTATTTAGTGGTTGATGTTTTTTTAGTTTTGAGTTTTAACTTTGGTTTATTTTACAGAAGCTACAAAGTCCTTTTCTTGATGCGAAAGGAGTTATTTTTATTCACTAGTTGCTTTTTCTAATTTAGGACTTAGTACTGAGCCCTGTAAAGTTTTGGGAGACTGGCCGCTTACACCACTGAAAGCGGAATCAGGCCCAAACTCTCAGTCAGTTTTTTTAAAATGCTTGTATGATAGCTTTTTCTGGAATTAATATTAAAAAAAAATCTGAAGTTTTATGTTGTTCTGGGTTAATTAAAGTATTCCTAATGAACATGGATAGATGCAATTTCTAAGAAATATTTTTTTCATTCTTTAACAGAAATACAAAATACACAGTCATTGCATTAAATATTTGCTTTGCACAGCTTTTGAAAATATTATATAGTTAAAGAAAACTAAACTTCCAATGGAATGCAAGCTCTAGTTCTAGTTCTTTTTGTGTTTCACTTCCTCTGCAAAATTGAAGACTTGCTGAAACAGGAAACTATTGTTATTACAAGAGTTAATGATATCTTTTACATTAGTTGCCAAGGAAAGAAGTAGAGGAAAAAGCATATTAGAGATCTTTAATGATCTTTGAAATTATCACAGAGTTTTTTAAAATTTCTAAATGGCTTGTTTTGAAATTTTCAGGTGTTTCAAATTTAAAATGCGATTCCATTACACATTTATACTATATGTGTACTGCCAGGTTGGTTGTGTAGCACACCAGACAAACATTTAAAGGAAAAATACATTTGAAATTAGCGGTGCTTCAATCTTGCAAGCAAATCTGGAACAGAAGTAGTAAGTGAAAATAATTTGATTGTAAAATTCTCCCAGTGTTTAAAAAGACTGAGCCGGTAATCCAGTATAAATTTTTTTTTTAAAAGGTCTGAACCCATAAGACTTTGTGGCATTTCAGGAAAAAGATTGTCATATTACCTCTTTTTCTGCATGTTGCTTGTCACATTTAAAATTATTTTAGTTGTCTGAGAAGCAGCAGCTCTGTATAGTCAGTGATTGGCATATCATATCATTGCTGTACATACGTAATGGTGGTAGATGGTAACACTTCACTCTATCATGGTACTAAAAAGGGATTGTAGTACCATCAGCTATTTGAGTGTTTTTCACTCTCTTGAATTAATAGTTTATGTGAGTTAACTGGGTAGAGATCCTTCTCCCTCTACCCCCCCCTAATCCAGTACTTCCCAGGCGACTTCTTTCTGGGCTGGGGTTTCTGTATTTTCCTGGAAATACTTTATTGCACAGGGGAGCTTGTAGCACAAGATGGCAGTGGGATCACCTTCCTAAATGGCAGTACTCCTTATCCCAGGGAAAAAAAAAAACTCCGTCCAAGAACAGGCACATTCCACAGGTGGCACATATTCTACAGTTGTATTTTGAGACTTCCGTGCAGGGAAAAAGACCCACCACTGGCTGAAAGCAAAGTTAAGAGGGTTTTAATTTGCTTATAGCTCCCTCCTTTCTCTGCTCCTTCACTATTCTCAGTAATAGGGAAGCTGAGTAGCCTCTAAAGGAACCAGGGGATAATGAATCATGACACATGACAAATAGGTATTTCTATAGTATTAGTGGTCAGTGATTTTAGTATGACTGGTATCACATGTTTAGAGAAACGATACTGTTTATTGCACCAGTATATTGCTTATCACTACAACATAGCAAGTAAAATACTTTGGATTTGTTCTAAATGAAGGATTTTGTATGCACTGAAGTCGGTACCACTGTTGGCCACCTTATTTGGCCTCAGCCCACAGACATGCTGGAAGACATCCATTAACTTTGGAACATGGGCAGTGTATAAAGACAAGCCACCCTCCTATAGTACAGTGTTGTGTCTTTATGTCCTTGAAAATCAGCAGTTTAGTTAAACAGAACATGTATATATAGAAGCTTTTTTTAAAAAAGTTAGATGCAATTCTAAAATCACTTTGCAGATAAATTTCTGTTGTAAATACAGGTTAACGAAGCTGCTAAGAGAGGAAAGAAGTTTGTGGGATTTGTAACGCAACATTTTCCTCAAACTAAAGCCTGTAATGGAACAAGCACTGATGGAAGTGCAGAGCTGGAATCTACACTGGGCAGAAGAAATAGGGAACACAGAAGAAAAAATTCTGATGAAAACTATAAAAGCTGGAATGAAGGGACATTGAGCGGTCACTCATCTGAGAGTGGGATAGAGGAGGAAATGCAAGGAGAAAGTGGTCTGTTACAGGATGCAGATTTCCAGTTTGGAAAAGAAGTCAGCCCTGTTAAACCACGAAAAGGAGACGGTAATAAATGCTGCTTGTTTATTGCAGAAATAAGGTACTTTATTGAGCTGTTGTTTCAAAATGGTGTTGGAAAAAAATAACAGAACAGCATGTTCTGTTGTATCAAATACTGGTTTTGGAAGATGCATCTTCCTTTAAATGCATACGTATTTCTAAAAAAGTTGCCAGTTAAGGAAACAGAGGAAATACTTACCTTCTGCTCTATATATGTGTGAACTGTGGTAATATATTAAAATGATATTTCAGTTCTCATATAGAACATTATAAATGTACTGTCAAAATTCTAGTTTGTAATTTAAAGAAAAAGGAAAAAAAAAACCACACAAAACCAAAAAACGACCCACAGTGTAATTCTGATCTTAAATGTGGTGCAAACAGATAGCTTTTTTGCTTGATATGTGTATAACAAATATGGGGCAGTAAAAATGTTTTATTTTAGAAGGATGCAATTGTTTTAAAACCTTTTTGTAAATGTATATAGCTTTCACTTACTCTTAATATTAAATCGTAAACATGTAATGGATTTCCAAGAATGTTATGATTCCAGTTCTCCTGCCTGTTTCAAAACTGACAACAAATAGATCTCCTTTCAGCTAGAGCTGTACTTTTACGTGCTTCTAGCCAACTCACATAATGTACAGCAAACAAATCCGTTCATAATGGATTCTTTCTGGTTAACATGCCTTCAAGAAGCAGCCTGAAAGAGATCACTTAAATTAATGCATTGACCATGAAATCAAAGAGGATAATTGTTACAAAATGAATTTACACTAGAGAAAAGTAAGCATTAAGAACTTCTATAAGAAGGAAAAGTATCATTGATAAATGTTGGTGCTGTGGTAGAGAACTTACTTGTAGAAGAATCTGAGATACTTAGTGTAGTCTGTGTGAGAGATTTCCTGAAACAGTGACTTCTCATACTGAAGCACGAAGGCCTCCTGGTTTGTTAGGAAGAAAAGCTGAAAAGGCAGAAGTAATCTAAAGCATGAGAACTAATGCAAGATAGTATTGTGTAGAAAGCAGGGAGCATGAAACTTTCATGTCAGGTTGCATTTTGACATAATAGGTTCTTCCCTGATGGGCCAGACATGTTTTAATTGCGCTCAAAAGCAACCTTTTCACTTTCCTGTTAAGAGTTAAGCACCCTCTCCAGTTTGTAGATTGTCAGGATAATGACTCTAAGCACTGAGATAATCAATGTCCTTCTTATTTTTAACACTTGAATTAAAGCAGTTCTTGTACAACATGCTGAGCCTTTATAGCATGATCTGTTAAAGCTTAACTCTTTCCTTACAGCTTGAAATAGTGGGTTTGCTATATGTAGCAGAGTAGAAATCCTGTAAACAAAAAGCGGAAAACTCTTGGTTCTGTTAAGGAGCTTTGTTTGTGCAGACTGGTGTGACCAGGTAGGTTAGCAACCAGTGCATCCCCTACATGCAGTGTTCTCAGAAAATTCTTCAGAAAGCTTTGGGCAAGAATATGCTAGGCTTCTCTACTACTAGTCAAATACTCAGTAAAGTTATTGGAGTTCCTAAGACAAAACTTAGGAAAACTTAACCATCTTTCTTTGTAAATGGTGTGTGTAACCATCATTCTAAAAAATACAGATGTGAGTTTTCAAAGAAATACCTCCATGCATGTAGGTATATAGTGCCACTTCAGTATGCCATTTCTATTTAGGTCTGCTCAAAGATGCCAAACTCTGTCTGAATTCTAGGTTTGGGGGTCATAACATATGGATTTTGACTATTTATAAATACACCACTTGCAGAGGCAAATTTCTGATACACATGAGCAATTGAATAGTTGTATCGGGAAACTTGATTTTTTTTTTTTTTTTTTTTCCCCCCTGAAGAACACATATAAAAGTGATCTCACTTTAGTATATGGGAAAGGAAATTCAGGTTTGTCAGGATAAACATGTTTATGCTAACACAACCACCAGTGGAGGTGATAAAATAAAACTGTTTAGAAAGGAGAGTAATTTTTTACTGATAAAGTTCAAAATTTTGTCCTGAATTTACTCTAGCTTATTCCAGGCACCTGATGTCACTTGCAGTGGGTGTGGTAACACTTCTCCAAACAGAGAGGTGTTCTCCCAGAGATTGATTCAGACTACGTACAGTCCAAATCCTACTTTGGAAATCTCCCTGTATTTCTGGAGCCTAGAGAGACTAGGATCTTAAGTGGGGTCATCTAAACCAAGTTCCTTTGTTTAGGCAATGTGAATACTTTGCTTTCTAGAGTTCGGTTTGTATTGATTTAGGCTGCTCAAATGTTGAAGTATTAGACAACCTGAGAGCATTTTTTTGCAACTGCTTTGTGTTATTTCTCCACAGCAGTGACATACATGTGAGTGTATTCGTAGAATACATTTATATATCTAGGACTTCATAACTTGTCACCAGTGATTTCCTAAAATGGTATGGATTTGTGAATTTTAATTTTTGATGAATGCTTGTTTATGACTCTGTTTTTGTAAAAGCACTTTATTAATGCCTAGCTATAAAAAGCGCTTGAGGATGTGCAGGTTTTGTGTACTTAACTCACACACTCATTAGGTATTGTGTGGGAAACCCCCGTAGGCAGCTAGTTATACCGGTACTTCAATAATCTTCAAAAAATAACGGGTAAAAATCAATACTGCACAAGGCATTCCTAATATTTAAAAATTTCAAAAATTGTCTTTAATCTTCAGTTATAGTAATTCCAAATATTTGTAGTCAGAAGTTCCATGAGTAGCAGAAATGAAGCCTGTTTCCACTGGGTTTTTCTTAGCTCTAGTATATTTTCTCTGTGCAAAACCCACTTACCTAAAAGGTCCAGTGACAACCCAACTGTAATATGTTCAAATTTTTCTCATATCCCAGAGCGTACCCTACTCATACTTTGTCCTGAGTGTGTTTAGGGCTCAAGCTGAGTACAGTCACATCATGAAACATTCTTAAAACTGTTGCTCAGAGTTAGAAAACCATGTTGAAATAAGAGATTAATAATATTTTTATTTTGGAACACACTTCTTTGAGAGGTTCATTCTTCTTCCTTTTTCTTTTCTTAGACAAGCTATATACAGTCTTCAATGTTTTTGATGATGATTCTGCCTGCTGGACCTATCATGAAGGCATTTTGTCTATGAAAGTAACAAGAAAGGGGCCAGTTATTAGTACACTGGAAGCAGACTGGCTGGAATTAACCACATTTTATTATAAACAAGGATTGTCCTTAATTGATTCTTTTGTACACTGGGAAACTGCTAAAGGTGAGTACTGTCCCAAAATATAATGAAGCTTTTACTTGTTTATGTAACTTGCACAAAGTAGATCATGTTTTGCAACATGGTGTTTTTTGGTGTGAAGGGCAATATGTAAACATGTTCAGATAGTCATTGTAAGTTTATAGAATCTGATACCTGAAAAGGGAATGACTTGTTTTCTGGGCAGTTATAGCTCTGAATAATTGAAATTCCTGCTTTGTTTTACCAAACTGAGGATTTCCAAAGCAGGAAAGTAGTGTAGTGTTATAATGAAATAAACCTTTTGCGCTAGTTCTTTTTTCTTTGTTTTGTTTTTTTAAAGGAAAAGATAATGGGAAGAAATCATTAGATACATGTTTCCCTGATGTTCGTATTCTGCTGCTCACTGTAGATACTGTGCTGCACCCTGTTGAATGTTTCTAATGAGACAAGAGTGCACCTTGAGTTCTCATTGTGCTTACTGTACTGTTAAACCAGACTTTCAGTGCTTCCTGATTTCTCCAGCTCTTTGCTGGGCTTAAAAATTCTTTCCAAAACACCAAATTGCATTAAAATTCAACTGTTGATCCTGAAGTTTCAGGATGTTTCTGCAGGTTGTTCTGGTCAGATGTGGACATATGCGGACATATGCAGAGAGTAGACAAATCTGTTTATGTGCTTGCCCTCAACTGTAGGCAGATCCTCCAGGATCTTTTCACACAGCTGGGAGAGAGGTCTTCCCTGGTCCCACCTGCTTCTTGTGCTCTTCTGCAGGAATCTGCCAGCTCAGTTAATCCTCAAATGGTTACAATGATAGAGCTTCAGGCCACAGGATTTTCAAATTTTCTTCTTCATTCTGCTAGTTTCAGTTTCATCTCAGTTTTTAATCTGGAGAGATCCTACTAGCTCTTTCAGAGTTCCTAGCCTTCATCCTCCTGATGAACAGACGCAAGCCCAATGTCAGCAGTGTCGCTGCTGGCCCAGGCCCGTTGCTGCACACCCTGCTGAGCCCAAAATGCTGCTCTTTGGCACAGCTGTGAGACAGTGCTGTACCACTGCTGAGAAGAGGAGAAGCTCTTCACTGGCTGAAGTATTGTGAACTCTGAAACTCAGCTGTTGGTAAAATATGTAATTAAGAGATTCATTTCCATTTGAACTGAATTTGTCTGAAAGCCAGAAATTGAAGTGTTGCAAAAAATAGTATGTAGCTACCATTGTGCAATTACTTGAAAATAATTTGAAGAAAATGGTAGTACTCTAGCGTTAGGGGAACAGACCAAGAGAGTCTGACATACTAAATCGTTGCAGAATTTATTAATTATTGTAATAAATGTTGTTTGATAGAATTGTTGTTTGATCTAGAATTTAGACTTCACTAATGTGGTACTTTGTCTCTGGTTGGATCTGTTCATGTCTTGCTTGTACTAACTTCTGAGTTGTTGGTGTTCCTTTAGAATTGCTTACGGCAGTTCAGTGTAAGCAAGCAAAACACAGGGCTGCAGTGAAGAAAAGTCTTGTAAAAAGTTTGAAATGTTTTCAGACATCTTAATTTTTGCAATACTCAGGCTCATTATCAAGTGCAGTAGTTTACTTAATAATGTATTAAAGTGGCTTTCGTAAGTCATTTTACATCTGCTTCTTACATGAATTATACAAGGAGGGTAGAATTACTGGGGGTTTGAGTAGTTTTTATATTTACTACATGTCTTATTTAATGCTTCTTTTCTGGTATTCTGATTTAAAACAATATGCATTCAGCATCCCCTTTGCAAGGCTTGGATTAGTGAAGGGCTTAAATTAAAAAGCTTAAAACGTAAAATCTTTGGAAGTTAGATGATGTGGGTTCATCAAAAATCAAACCCTGAAAATAATGACAACTTCTCAGTTTTTTGTTGTTCTCAGTAGTTTATAGTTTTGAGTGAATCACCACATTTCTGTAGCTCTGCAATAAAATAAATTTAGTGATTGTCAGAGGAACACGAGTGCATCAACAGCACTGTATTTACCTCACATTGAATTTGGCAGCTAGTCCCTCTCAAACTGCATATTTTGTGCACATAAACAGTCTAATAGTGCAGCTTGTATTGGTCATCTTTTTTGCTCTTAAATCTTAATTCCTATCTATTGAAGTCAGTGGAAGAACACAGTTTCCTTTGGGGGAGGAGAGGTGAGAAATCAGACTCCTAGTTTTCAATACAGATTTTTTTAGAGCTGGAAAATAACTCTCTGGAGATACGTTACAATTCACTGAGGAGTGTTTTTGGCAGCTGTTGAAATTAATCTTTGCAGCTGTTGTCCAACAACAGTTTCACAGTCTTCCCATTCCCCTGTGTCTGTCTGCTCTTCTCTATGTGAATAACTATCCCATCTTTAATACCCAGGTTATGACTTATTTAGGGATTTCATGCTGCCTCTTTGCAGCAGTTGGTGCTTCTGCTTGCAGCCCCGCTTGACTGGTATGTGTTTTAGTTGGGTGGGACGCTGCTGAATTAAACTGGATATATTCAGAGGCATAGCTCACTTTGTGGATGGAATTCTGCAGCTGATCAAGTGTCTGTAACCACAGTAAGAAATTAATTTAGCTACTGAGTTTTTAAGCTAAACTGTTTGTTCTTGAGGTGAACACTGGAGAGTTTTATAACCAGGTAAAAGTTTGGCATCCAACAGAGGGAAACCTAAAATGCTGTTTTGGGGAGAGAAAGTATTTACGCACTTGCACTCATTACTAGAATTATTTCTTGTATGTCTGCATGTACATCTAACTGTCATCTTCACCTCACTTTTGTTTGTTTGCTTTTAGACTGTCAGGTGTCTTTAGCAGTAGTTGTCCTTTTAATACAGCCTTAGTGAAATGAGCAAATTAATAAAAATAAAAACACCAGATACAAGTCAGGCAGCTGCACAAATCCTCCTCTGGTTGGACTCTACAGATGTTCTGCAGAGTCACAGAATTCTGTTGCTACCAGGATCAAAATGCAATACGCAATTTAAGGCAGGAGGAAGTTTTTAACATAAAAAGAATTTAAAAAAAAAAAATCTTTGTCCGTTCTTAATAACTACCAACTTCTGTGTTCTGCTACCAAAAGAGGATGCAGTCATAAAAATAATCCAAGTAAGTTCTCTTTTAGCAGCCATTTGGATCACTGTAGTGTTTCCTCCATTTGTAGCTGCCTTGGAGGCTCTCATGATCATAGAAGTGCTGTGGCAGTATTTTTGCTTTTACTGGTTTGTGTTATCTGTCATGCAGCATTTTTTTTTTTTGAGTACTGATATTAACAAAGATAAACTATTGTAATCGATAGAATGGACAGGTGAACCAGTTAGCTGCACATGCAGTTTTTTCAGTAGAGGTGATTTTGACATGATACGCTTTATGAATTAACAGTTTGTCTCAAATTACTACTGAGTGGAGGTGTCTTGTGTCAATAACTGTTTCAAATTTAGAGTTATTCTATCATGTTTGAACAACGATAAAAAAAGAAATACTCTAACATGTTATAGGTGGACTGCCCATTTTAAGTATCTGCCTGAACACTGAAGAAAGGTCAAAGTCCATGAATTTATGAGATTGAGTATTTATGAATTATTAGGAGTTGTGCAGATATTCATATGTTTGTGCCTGAACCATATATTCAGTTGCATGTAATCAATCACATTATATTTATGTGTAATCTAAAAATAAAATATGTCCAATATCTCTACAAACGTGTGGATCATATATGCATGCAAGTGTCTAAATAATCATAACTCAAACTACATAAATCTGCTACCTGTAAGAAATAGTTTGAATAAATAGTTGGTATTTAATGGTACATTAACAAGCATGCTCAAAAAATGGGAATTCCTAGTCAACATGGCACAACTTCCATGCCAGTCTGGTCAATTTTTAAAACCAGACCAGTTGTGTTCCATAAGTTTTCTTTGTTTGCTAGGTGTTTTTTTCCCTTTAAGTTTATTTGCCTTCTCTGAAGCTGTGGCAAAAACAATCGTCTCTTTAGATTTATTTGTGCAATATTGGAGAGGATTTAAATCTGATATGCTGAGGATTACATAATTTTACTGTTCAAATTTAGTTTAAGATAGTCAGCTGTCTGCATAAAAGGCTTCCCGATGGCTCTTAGGAGAAGCAAAACCAGAAAATGAACCAATATTTGATGCACGGCTTTAGCTTGGGCCAACCGGATACTGTCAGGCTTCAACATGTGAGTCAGGGACTTGTGCTCTGAAACTTCCTTCCCATCAGGAATCTTCCTACAATTACTTCTGTTTCAGGCTCTTCCTGGGGCCATTTACGTATTTATTTAATTAACAGTAGCTGGGCTTTGCACTTCATGCTTCATTTATCTTTATGCACTCTCCCACCACACCAAAAGCCACATTTATTGTCAGGCGTCAACAATATTGAAGTTGAATAAAGAGGGTTTGTGCCCATCTGCTGTGGGGGATATGTTGAATACAGGAAAATGGAATTCAGACTTGAGCATGGAAGTGGCTAATGCTTTTGAGAAAATGAAATGGTTCATAGTCCAATTTGCGTAGAAAAAGGGTTTTGAATAATTACTTGACTTGCATACTTCAAGTTGTAACTAGATGCAGAAATAACCACAAAATTGAGTTATTTGCTGTCTCAGTTCATTTTATTTTAGAGGACTGTTCAATGAGGAAAAAACAAGCCTATGTGTACATCTCAGTAAGATATCGACCTAAAACTTCATATTACGGTTTATATTTGTCTTTATGTTCACAGGGGACTATGTGCCCAAATCTTTAGAAGGATTATTTATCTACGAAGAAGAAGGTGCTGGGGTTCCAGGTTCTAACAGGAAAGGAAATGATGCAATAGTTGTTGAACAATGGACAGTCATTGAGGTAAATTGGTGATTATTTAGCAATGCAATTTCCTACTTCTAGTTTTCTTTGTTTTTTTCTTTAGAATGCTTGTACCAGTGTTTGATTAAACATTTAGGATGGTTTCTTGAAGCCACCTGCATAAGCTAAACTAAAGCCTTGAGTCATAAAAATGAAGTCAGGCCTGTGGCCATTGGTCAATGTGCATAAAAGAAATATGCTGCAGGGATTCTGGCCTGACATTTACAAATGTTTGTACCAACAAACACAACCACCAAACATTTTATTTTTTAAAAATGTATGTGTTTCAGACCAATTTAGACATAATTTCAGCAAGTGCAGTTCCACTGACAATGTGCTGAAGTATTTTTAACTAAAAAGGGCAAGAAAATAGCAAAAACTAGAAATAGAACAAGAAAAAACTGATAGCGAATGAATTGAGTATGGTTTTCAGATGTATATTCGTAGTAAAATTTTACTGCTAAATATGAAAGACTTCATTTTTTTTTCTAATAAATTTACATGTACTGCAGTAGCATGGTACAGCAATCAAATTATTTAATGTTTTTTTAATAATACTATGAGATTATTGGTATGAATTAACGACATCTGAAAGTAATCGTTGTTGGAGGATACTAAGGGCTTACTTTTGAAATATTCAATGATAAATACATTAACCGATGTGAAAAGAAACAGCATATAACAAAACAAAAAAGCCCAACCACCAAGCCCCCAAAACCTACATATATAGCTAGGTGAAATGCTTGTTATTCAGATGTGAAGTAAAAACCTAAATATATCAATTGAGACGTGTTGTGGTGTTTAAAAAGTTTTTAGGCATTAATTCAGCAACATGACAAGTTTAACAAATGAGATGTGCTTTGAATGTCTTGCTGAATCAGGGCTTCTAACTAAAGTTAATATGCTCTCTTTTCCTAGTCTTCTGTAGTGTTGAACTTTTCAAATTGTTTTCAGATTGAAATAGTGAATCTCTACCAAACAACGCAGTTTGTCATCTCAGAGGATTATCTCGTTATAAATGAGAGGAGAGTTGTTGTAATTTATGTGTAGAAATGAAATAAAACCTGTACAGAGTCTCTTTACTACTTTTTATAATTATTAATGTAGGGGTGTGAAATTAAAACAGATTATGGACCTTTATTGCACACGCTGGCTGAGTTTGGATGGCTCCTGACCTGTGTCCTGCCTACACCTATCGTACGACATGACAGGTACCCAAACAATAGTTTACAGCATTTTTGGTGTATACGTCTCTGAAAAATATCAAGTGTACTTGTGTACTTAAATGTAACGGGAAAAAAAATGCTAATAATGGTAACTGCATATAAAACTTGAGATGTAAGTAACATTATGGTGGAATCTTTTTTACCACACTGCTTTAGGACTGCTGACTTCAGTGAGTTTCAAACTAGACCAATAATCCTAAATTTAAAATATGTTGTTTATATCTAAACGTTAAAGATTTTGTTTAGGAAACTTTTTATCATATACCCAGTCCCCAGCAATGGGGCAACAGTGGGGTTACTCATATGCTTCAAGTTTAAACAAGTGTTGAAATGTTTCACTAATTTAGGACCTTGGTGAATGACTGGTTTAGACTATGTAAGAAGTCATGTTGTCACAAGACAGTCATGCAGTATTTATTGCAAATTAGGGAGGAGAATGTGCTAATCCGGCAAGTTACTGGGCTGATTCTCCTCTTTAATGCAGACATTATGTTTCGTTTCAAATACAGTACCAAAATACTGGATTTCAGTTCTCTTACTGTAATATTTATTTAGATGACTGAGGGGAATTTAGGAGGAGCTAAAATAGCAGACCTGGATCCCCTATAAGGTTCCTCTCATTCGATTAAGATTGTCAAGGTTTGAAAACAAGCAAATGTACTGAGGCATGGCTTAGGGCTTATTAAGGACAAGGGGAAGAGTGGGTGACTTTAGTAATCTTTGGATCCAGACCTCACTATTAAATCAAGACAGCATGAAAAAGGATGTGAATGAAAGATTCTAAGAGAACTGCTCCAGGAAAGTGGAATCTTGTTCAAGTGATTTGACATAATTAAATCAACTCACCCATGTGAGAAGGAGGTTTTTCTGGTCAGGAAATAGTTTGGAATTTTTTTTTGTTTTGGCTGTGATTTTTAATAGTTGATTTTGACCAACTGGTTAAAAGCAAAGACAGAAGAAATTGTGGTAAAACATATGGCATGTTCTGCTATTTTTAAGGGTCTCTGTATGTTCTGTTTTCTTCTGAAATTTATGAAATTCTGAACTTGCAAAACTCTTGCTCCAGAAAGAAGCAGTTTTCAGAACATGAAACAAAATGGTTATCCTTTAATTCATTTCTTTAGACAAAATTTTGTAGTCTAAATGTGTTAGCTTTGGACATGGTGACTTGTTAAGGGTATGTGAACCACTGAGCCCGGTTTTCAGCTGAAATTTTTGGCCAAATCTTAGAGCTTGAGAGTAAGCTTTCAGGACCCAGATCTACTTCTTGAAGGATGCGAGTGGACAATGGGAGAGAAAGATTTTAGTAGTCATGGTGCACTGTGGGTCATAGGATGAGAGAGAGGTTTTAACCTCAAACCTCTTCTATCCCACAAGCAGTGTAACTGTACCCATCCCTGTACGGTTTGGACAGCAGGGACAAGATTGTCCTGATATACTCTGTGTATCAGTATTTGCATCAGGCAAAGTGATGCTATTTTGTACCTTGTAGATTGCAGGGCAAGAGCAGGGCCCATTTAAAAGAAGCTAAGTGCTGTAAGAAAAAAAAATAGGGAAAAGTGCTGTAGGAAGTGCTTACAGATTCATTAGACTGGACCTGTTCCTTGAACTAGTAAAAAGGCAATATACGAGCAAGATATTTCAGTTGCACTAGATGTCTGTAGTAGCATTGCTTCCCAGATGTGAAACAACCAGCCCGTTAATAGCTGTGATCATGCAAAAGGGCGTTGTAACCCGGCTGAATCTGAAGTTGGATTCGTTTTGTATCAACACTAGAATAATTCCGACTAATGAAAAGCATTTGTTTTCTGGGCTAAAGAGTTGGGTAGGTGTCTGCATTAATTGTCTAATACTTGTTGTCCTGGTGTGGCTTGTGAGATACTTCTGGAAGAAATAGGATAAATCACGTTTTGTGTGCCTGTCATGTATCCAATATATAGCTATTCAGTTTTCTGTTTAAAAAAAAAAAAAAAAAGCCTGTGAACAAGAATTCCTAATTAGGAATTAAGAATTCTTAAGAGTCCAAAAAAGAATGCATTTCTATCCTGATAGGCTAAGTAGTGATTGATAAATACTATTTTTAGGCATTGATGTTGGTATTTAAAGAGGAGAAAAAATTCCTGGATGGTTACTATGTGTCTGATATGAAAGATGCCATTACTGTGGTGGTGGATTATCCTTGGAATGCAAGTTAAATGTCTCAATAAAGAAGGACACTTTATGCTGCCTAACAGCTGTTCTTTTCCCAGAACTCTGGAACTCTGACCTCAAAACCCAGCCTGAATATTAACAGGCTTCAGAAACACTGAACAAACAAAATGAGCAACATGTTGGGACTATCTGGCAAATTCATGTTTTCATATTTATTTAAAAAAAAAGAATTTGGACAAAGTATATAAAGAAAATTCTATTTAAGAATAAAATATGTTAGCAGGGCAGCCTGCTCCCCATTTTTATTCACCTTTATATTTTGCTGTAGTCTCTGTTTTCCTCTTCTCATAATTTATTGCAAAACTTTCTCTCATCTCAGATCTTCTGTGATCTATTCCTGGCCATTATCCCCACTGCTTGTCTGCAGACGAGGAGTGTGACCAATAGGCTAACAGGTTCTGGGGTGTGACAGGATTGTCATGCACTGATGTGTTCCTTTTTTGGTTTTTATGTGGTTAGGACTTGAAACAGTTTAAAAACGGCCAGGCTGTGATGTCTGTTCTTGCATGGTTTTGTTATTATTGGAAGTTTTTCTTTTTTACGGATGTTCCTCTCCATAAAATAAAACGTCCTGTTGCGTGGAATGTCATGCCACATGGTAGCTGAATGTCGTGGATCACTGTCCCCTTTCAGGCAGGGGCAGCAGTCTGTAGGCCTGTTTAGTCCTTTAACTCCTACCACAAGGGCTAAATCATGTTGGATGCAGGAAACATTTCCTTGAGAAATGTTATCTTTGCTGTTACAAAGAGAGCAATGGTAGATGTCATATTCTTGAAACATACAGAGTTGCTTTTTTGTGCAACATTGTGGGGTTTTGGGGGGGCTTTTTTGGTCAGCACGCTATAAAGCTCACAGAAATTACCCTCTTCAGTCAGTGATTCTTTTTCCAGGGATATGAGAAAACAGAGCATGAAAAAAAATATGATCCATATCTTGGGTATTTAAATTTTGTCAGTGGTCATTAAAGAATTTTTTTTACCAAAAAAGCAGACCAAAAAAAGAATATAAAAGACCCACAAATAATATTAGTAACCCAAAGAGCCTCCTGCATTATATACAAGTCTTACTTAATAGAAAAATCTTTTCAAGACAAGAGTTTGACGGTAATTATGCTAAGTTCGGAAGGTATATAGCAAGGCTAAAATTAATAGTCCTTTTAGGAGTTAAATCTAGTGATTGGGGGCAGGGAATATTAGAAAATACTTTGCTGGTAACTTAGTGCTACTGCAGTTACTAATACGATACTATCATGACTTTGTAGAATTTCATACATGTTTATGGTCTAAAATTAGAATTATTTCTAAGGGGTTTTTAATTTTTTCATTAAACAGAATCTTTAAGCCAGGAGACTTATCCCAAGCTGGTGTGTGTCTCATAACTGAAAGTCTAGATGCTATGCAATTCCAAAGGAGTGCAAAATTTTATTTTGGGAAATGCAAAAAAAAAAAAAAAGGTTAAAAGAATTTAATACCTTGCTCCTTTTGTTCACTTTCCAGAAAAGTTTGTCTAACCTTAATTTTAAGTGCTTTGTACATAAAATGTTCATGCATAAAAAATAAACCTGTAAAAATCAGAGCTACTAGCAGTACTGGTTAGCTTCTAGCTTGATGATTGTTTTGGGGGACTTACTAAATATATATTTAAAATAAGAGGAGGAATTTATTGCCCATACAGCATAAGCAGACAAGCAAATTGCTGGTGTTTTAACAAAAGAGTCTCTGTTGCTCTTCATCCCTCTTAAAAGACGAGACAGGAAAAAGGCTTCAGCAGCCTTACTCTGCAGTGACCTTTGTTTCCCCTCACTGATTACTGTAGTCCCTGAAAATGGGCAAGGCAGACTGTCTACGAGCGCCGGAAAGCAAGCAGGCAAACACAGTGCAAAAACACTGACTTTGTGGTTATTAATTTATCATGACAAACTACTTAGTCTAAGTTTTCAAAATGCCCTGATTTATGAAGCAAAGATGGAATGTGGAAATGTGAGGGAAGCTATGGAGTGGCTGGCTCTAAGCACTTTTTCTCATTTAAATTCTGTGGAAATCCCACTGTCATTGAGTTCTTTGTGAATTAAGCTCATAGCTGCTTTGTCGTGTGCAGCATTTTAATAAGGTCAGACTTAGAAAATGGTTAATTTACTTATTGTCTACTCACCATCGTGTCCTTTCTCTGTTCTAGTAGAATTTGTACAAGCTGTAGCTTAATGTTTGGGTTTTTTCTTTTCTATGAAGGAATGCAGACACTGTTACAAAATAAGCCGTAGGCTCTTCCCCATGCCAGGGACTGTGCTCAGCCGTCTTGCTTGAGAGAGATTTCCCCATTGATATTATCAAAACAGACATAACTGAGGCAGGGAGAGATACCTAGCAAAGTGGAATAAGGTTGTAGGATTGCTGATTTCCTTGAAATAACATAAAATTGTAACATGTTTTCTTTTAATGAATGCAAATAGTGAGGGAAGGACTTTCAGAGCAGGAAACCTTGTTAACTTAAGGACACTAATGAGTTCTCCTGCCTCCTTGTTTTCCCCACAAGCTGGAGTTTGATAGTTCTCTATTCTCATCCAAGGAAGACATGTAGAGATATGCCATGACCTGAATTCAGCTGGACTGAAAGGAAGATTGTGAGGGGCCAAACACCACCACAGAACTATCATCACTGACTGTTGATCAGATGTAGTTGAGTATGCTGGGAACAGTGCTCTTCTGTGTATTTTCTGAGCTTACTTCCAGGAGCTCTACTGGGAAAGGCTGTTAACAAGCTCTTCCTGATCATAGAACAGTTTTAATCCCTGATTTTTCCTGGGGCAAGTCCCTAATGTTAAATATAATTAATTCTATCAGTCCTAGCCTTGGCATAAAACATGAATCTCAACTTTGTGTGTAGTTAAGATTGTGACATACCCATACTGAAGTACAAACTTATATTATTTTAGTATTCTTTCCACAATGTTGTGCATAATAATACTGTTTTATGATTGATAGATGAGATAGAATCATAGAATCACTTCAAATGAACTCACTACATGTCTTTTGTGTTTCTGTTTTGCTACTTTTCTTTAGCGCACTCTTAAATCTGTAGTCACTTTTCTGCCTTTCAGTGTCTTTCCTTTATATGCATAAAGATCTCATTGAATACTGCCCAGAAGTAGGAGTGGAGGAGAAGAGTTTATCAAAATGTAGTATCTGATCTTTAGAAGAGCACAGAAATTTTTTTAAACCTTCCCATCCTAGAGCCCTGGTCTTGCAATTCTTGCACTCTTTCAGTGCCACAGAGCCAGGCTTTGTAGTACCTATGCAACAATCAATGTGCTGACCTGTATTTCTGATGGAAAGGTGATGAAAATAACTACATAAAAACTTCATGAGGATGTATAACCAGTACTAAAAGAGTGTAACACTTCTGAAATATCATATCAGTAACATCTGATTTGGTTTTGAGGAAAAACTTCGTCTTTTCACATTTATTTTTCTAAAAGTATTTCCTTTTGAAAAAGAAATTAATAGTGCTTCTTTAAATTATATCTACCACAACAGCACCAACATTTGTAAAAGTTCCAGGACTAAAAACTGAAGTTCCTCCTTTTTTTTCTTCCTTTATTTATCTTACTACTTACTCTCTTGTCCTTCCTATGCATGTACCTCCCATGTACAAAACGTCCAGTGTCATTTATCTCATTGTGGATGTAGAACTTATAAAAACTGAGCTGAGTCCTTTTATCCTGCTGTGTCGGTTACATGTCATGTTAGAACTGGAAAACACCTTTTAGTTAGCAGTAAAGAATGTTACTTCCCAAGTTTCATACCACAAAGCATTGAGATATTTGTTGAAGCTGTGGATCTATTGAGATTGGGCCTATTTGTTGTGGTGTTAATAGGTATTAATATGTTGCTGTATATTTGACGGTGAAGATTAGATGAAAGAAAGACTCTCGGGTTAATTTCAGACATTAAGGTACAGACTTTGATTAAAAGTAGGAGCTCTGGTACTTAAACTTTCAAGAGAAGACATGTTAAATAACTAATCATAGTAATACAAATTTTTGTTCTATACCTGTTTTCATGTGCAACACCTTAACCCAGCTCTTTGCTTCTATTTTGTTTTTTAAATGTGATTACAGAACTGTTTAGGAATCAATAAACCAGTTAATGCTTGGTAGTCTATCCTCTTCTCAATCATGGACTTACGTACACACAACTTACAGTTGACTCTGAAGGTATGAACGTGTTACAGTGACTATTACTGCCTGTAAAATATTGAAACAATTTTCTTTAAATTTTAGTGAAGGAAATCTAGCCACGAAGCAAGTCGTTTTTCTTCAGAGACCTGTTATGTGGAATTCTGCTGTCCAGACACCAGAGGTAACATGTTTATGGTATTCATATAAACAGATTAGTACTTCACATAATGGTTAGGTACAGAAACAAACTAGACTTCAAAATTAATGGGGAAAGTGGCAGAAGAGGGTTTTGCTTGAAACAAGTTCAAGTTTGTGGAGGGCTTCTGCAGCTTATGTTATGTTTTTTCTCAGATGTATACTTCTTAAATTAAGCCATAGAGAAAAGCATAAGCATGCTAAAAACTTGTTTTGTGCTAAGAAATTACTGTGTCTCAGGTGGATGAGGTTGGCTATGCTGTAAGTATTTCTTCAGAAGTCTTCAGGAAGTCTTAAACGTTCTGATTCAAATCCTGGATCTGTTGCACATGAAAAAGAAAACATTTTATCTTCACCTCCAAAACGTCTACTTTTGCACTTGTAGAAGTATACAAGTGTCAAGCTGTGCAAGGGATACTGTAATCTGGAGGTTAACAGGGTGAAGGGATGTTAGCTGTTGCTGCATGAAAATGTGTGACAGAAATAGAGGAATTAAAATTCCTGCAGCTGGACCTCAACAACTCCTTGGCCTTGTTGAGTGAGGCTCCCATAATAGTGGTTGTATAAAAGTGCTTTGAGGATTAAGTAACTGGCAGGCACCACATTCTGCTCAGAGTCAAGGTCACAACAGTTACTGCACCTGTATAGCACTATAGTAAATCCTGCTGTGGCCAGAGAAGGACGAACTGGTGGGCTCTTGTTTGCCAAGTCTTTCAACATCCTGTGATGGATTTTTAATTTTTGTTATTTCTGTTTTTCAATGGCCATTCAACCTTTTTCTAATCGACACAGCTTTCCTGTGAAAGTCTTAAGCAGCTATGAAAACTATGGACGTTCTCACCCATATTCAGCACCAGAGTAGTAACTTTACAATCTCTGTCATTCGTGGTATTCTATACTACTACAAGGCAATGACACCTAGTCTCTTCTTTCTCCATCTGTATAAATAGTTCCATGAGTCTCTAAACTTCTTGCATTCATATTTGATCTTTTTCTGTCCTTCCTACATTCTATCCAGAGTGTTACCATCATCTCTATTTTCCTCTGCTTAGTGTTTCTAAAATATACTCTCCCTTTTTTTGTTCTTCTCCAGGCTTTTGCTTATCTCCAGCCTAACTTCCTTCTCACTGCGTCCCCTGATAATTACTACTTCCATGCCTGGAAGAACTGCATTCAGCATGCACAATCAAAATCCGGTTTTATTTTTTGTCTCTACCGCCATCTCAATTCCCAGCTAGTTCTTGTACACTATCTATAATTTATTTCCTCATTTACAAAATTTGAGCTCCTTCTTTTTTTCTCTTCAGTGTTCCGTGTAGTCTGCCTTGCCAATGTCTTAATCTCCTCTTCCATTCATGCCCTCTTCTAAATTCTGCCCTCATACATTTTTTTCCTGTAATTTCCCCGTGTGCCAAGCATCTTCAGCTTTTAGCTTTCAAAGCTTCTGACCTCTGACGCCATGCCTGACTTTGTAGTCTTTACATTCTTTCCTAATACACTTCTGAAAGTATATTTTGGAACACAATTTTGATACCAGTATTGTAAATATTTAAAACCTTATTATGTCAGTCATTATCAAATAAAGTCATACTTTTCCTGATGCTTCCCTACATTTTTTAATACTCTGTATAATAAGAGCATGGACTCCTGATATGAATACTATTTTCCTGGTAAGGCATGTTATTCCTAACTATAAGCATCTCCTAAAAGGCAGCATAACTACATGACACAAGTTAGAATGGTTAAGACTGTATTCTACCAAAAGATGTAATACAAACCAGTTCTGTAAAAACATTCAGTCTGAGGAACTGATGAATCTTTGAGATGTGGTTTAAATTAAAAATAGGAAGTATTATGCTCACAGTTTAAATTGTTACCCAATTGTGAGGTGATCAGCAGCTGAATGACCTTTACATTCTTTGGTTTATACAAATAAAATGGTAATGTGTTTTGTAGTCATTGTTTTACTTTGTGGTAGTGGGAAACCTTTGACTTAAGCATTAACATACTGGAAGTAAACAAGAAATAGCTGATTTGTAGCCTTTCACATCAGGATTACGGTGTTTAAAACTGAACAAACTTAATATCTAAACGTGCTCCTTAAGTACCAGTGAATGTTTTACTTCACCACCAGGAAATTTCAGTATGCTGAGGTCATTTTAGCATGGGATAAATAGGTAGTTCAGGCTGAAGCTGAAATATTTAACAGAAGTAACATTTTCCTTCTGTTTCTCCAATTATGTTGGTTTTCCCCTAAATTTTAATCTTTTTACTTCATTGCTTTTTTTACCAAAATGTCTGAATTGGCAAACAGCATATTACCTTCATTACAATTTAAATTCGTAGATTTATTAGTAATACATAACTCATATAGAATGTCATGCTAGCTTTGCATTGAATAGCTAGATTTCATGTGCAAAACAAGCTACTGAAATTTGAAAGTATTAACTTTTGCTCTAGAAACTTTAAAAAAAAATGTTTATTTGAAATGTCCCCTGGACATTGACAACAGAGCTGTACAGTTTTATCAAACCCTTGCAAACATTTTAGTAAAAACACTTAATTCCTGTGATACTATATTGTTGGGCATGACATCATCATTTTCATTTGTACTACGTATCTTTTTATTGATGTTCAAATTACATAAAAGCTGTTGTTCAAAAAATTTTCATGTCCACAACTTCGGACATTTTTGAAACACAGATAAGACTTAAGGTATCTAAAATGTTTTAAGTTCCAACAAAAAAAAAATCGCATCACAATTTATGTTTATTTAAGCATATCCTTAGCATGAGAAGAATGCTACCTATGAGAGTGTCAAAACAGGAAACCAACAAGGCCCTTTCATTAACTGAATCTTAACAAGAAAGCAGCCTCACACAGGCCTTCTCAAACATGTAACTGTCAAGCCTGCAGAGCTCTGGTCACATCACTGTCCAGCTCTCCGCAGCGTGGCGGGGTCTGGCTGTGGCAGGAGCTGTGCCCCACAGGCAGCTCCAGCTGTTGGACCTCTGTGACTTGCGTTCTGGAGAATGTCAACATGGGGTACAGGTTGCTTTGCGTACTCGGGATTTTTTTTTTTTAAAAATTGTTGGGTCGACGTTAGCATTGCCATTTCTAAAGGAAGTTTTGCTTCAGTAAGAATTGAGGGGAAAAACCCTATCACCTGTTCTCTTATTCCCATAGCGTCTTTTTTCTGAGGAGGGTGTATTTTATGTCCTCACAGCTCATCTCTCTGCCTTCTTGTATATTCATGGTTTAGTGCTTTATGACCTCGCTTACGATTTATGTAATGGTTCCAAGGCCTCTTGGATTAGAAGGGCTATACTGTCTCAGTGGGTTCTTTGCTTTACCATTTGCTTTTCTAAGAAAATAGTTCAGAAGAGGAGATCCAAGATTGAACCACACAGTGCTTGAGGGTTTTCTGGTTTTTTTCTTTTCTTTTTTTCCTTTATTTCCCTCAGGCAGACCTCTCCATCCTCTTACTGTGGCATCCAGGCAAAGCATATTTCCTTCTGTTTCTCCTGAGGCAACACTATTTCCCCTTAGTCTAATTTCCCAATGTCTCCTTTAACAGCTTCCCTAAACACATTTCCTTTAGCCACAAGGGCCATTGTTTTTACTGTTTCAAAAGGGTTTGAGAAAAAACTTCGCAATGTATAGAAGGGGGGCACAGAACGTGTCAGAGCTAGACAAAAACAGTTGTAGGATGTTTATGTTTTTAAAGTGTTAGCATTTCTGCAAATCCCCCTGCAAGAGTGCTCGTGTCCTTTACCCAGCAAAACACAGTTCTGTGCTGAGGCTGGATTCCTTCTTAGCTAGCTGTCCTCCTCCTGTGGACAGGGCTGTGTCCCCTGGCAAAGCACCTCCTGGTTTAGCAGTGCGTGTGCTGACAGCAAGGCTCCAGGCAGAGAGCCAGGGCACTTCTGCCTTCCTGACCATGCTCTGCCTCCGGAAGTGCTGCGTCATCACAGATCTGAGTACCTTGGGTGGCTCCTGATGCTAAAATAAAATAAACCTTGTATGTATTTGTAATGCCTGAGAGGACCCTTAGCATAGTCTGATAGGTCTATTGTCTGCATAAATCACAATCTGCTTACTTTTCTTTTTGACATTGGCAGCCATCACTTCAAGAAGCAGCATGTCGGGAGATGCCAGTACTAATGTCAGATGGTATTTATACTGAATTCTTCCTGTGCAAGGTCTCTTTAGAGCCCCTCTCAAATTGCTGTACGGGATAACCTCTGGCTTCCATCTGCATAGATCCACCATGTGGATTGAATGCAATTCTCAAGAAACTTTCAGTTATCTGAGGAGTCTTCTGAAGGTCTTTATGAGCAGAACTGGAAAGATGGGAGAGCATAGCAGTCTCACCATGAGATGGATCAGTAGGAAAACTTCAGTCCTATCAAGTGGTCAGATCGCAGTCTTTAAGAGCTCAACGTTGGAGTTTAATTCACATCTTTATCAAATATCGCACTCTTGTTGAAGCTTCTAGACAGAACTGTGTTTGGGGAAGCGATCAACATCCACTGACTTTCAGAGCAGCTTACAGATGAGGGCACTAGCCAGATATTGTTCATGGTGGCATGTAGAAACGTGAGTGAAGGAGAGTGAGCGTATGCCTACAGTGGTAGCTGGAGATGGTGGAGCTGTGAGAGCTGCATGCCTGCCACTGCCCGGCCCCCACACTGCTCCAGGCAGGAGGGACCTCTGCAGCTGAGAGGAAGCTGATAGCTCTGCCACCCTCAAGCATTCATCCCTGCGGAGCACGAGAAAAGGCAGTGCACGCATGTGCCCTATGGCAGAAAGCGTCAGAGTCAGGGTATGTTAGGTGTGTATGTTAGGCACAGAAATCATGCTTTCTTCAAACAGCTGATTTTAGCATGGGTTAAGACTTGTAAATCATTCTGGAGCTGCCAAGCACTACATAAGAATCGAGCTTTGTTGGAGTACTTTTTCTTAGCGTTCATTTGTGCTTTCCTGAATCTTGATTATGTCTTGTATCTTCTTTGTCTCTCTTTAAATTTATTTATAGAGAACAAAAATTTATCTGTTGGAGGTTTTTTCCTCCAGAGGAGTTCATAGTTTAAACCAGAGTGCTAAATGCTGCCTTATGTTAAAATGCAGCTCACATTAAATCCATGCATGACTCATTGTTTGGCTTTTTTTTTCCCCTCCCTAAATAAGCTAACATTTAAACATCCTCTTGTATTTCAGAAGAAATCCTTAAGACAAGTCATTGGGGAGGAAAAAGGGAAAGTCTCTAGCAGAAGTGTTGGATTAGACACAGCTACTTCTTGCCCTGTAGAAATTGGACAACCACCTGATGAGTTTCATCTATCTCCTTCTAAACAATGTTGGATCAAGGAGGGATCTTCCCAGTATGGAGGCTTTCCAGGATTCAGTAGCAGTGACGGAGTGTTAAGGGAACTGGATGATGGACAATTTGAGCAAGAAGATGGAGTCACTCAGGTCACATGTATGTGATAAAGTAAGTAACTGCATCAGATGGACATGTACATAATTCACACGTTTTAAAAAAAAAACCATACTACTTTAAATGCATTGGTATAATCCTATGACTTCTCCCAGACTCATTTTGTATTTTTGTCTGTTTCTTTGTTGTGTTAATCCTACTGTAGTAATAATACTACTGCAAAATAATTCGGTTTTCTGTCTCTCTTTAATAGAATAACTACATGACTGGGTGCTCTGCTAACTTGTTAATGCTTTTGACAAGCAAGGAAGCAAATGCTGCAAAACAGTGACAGTTTGAATTGTGTATGAGGGAAAAGAATGAGGATGTTCAGGATTTTCCGCAAGCTGGAGGAGTGTTTCTTTTCTTTTTTTTTTTTTTTTTTTAAAAGGATGTTGTAAATATTGGTGGGGAAAAAAAGAAAAATGAACTATCTGGCTGTTCTTAAGTTTTAACGTAATTTTCATTTTACTTGCCTTGCATAAATTCAAAAGCCTAGAGAAATGTAAGTCTTACACTAGAGTGTTAATAATTTAAGCTACGTTCAGACTTGGTATGTACAGAAAACCTCTGGAAGCTGTAGGCAGACTCCTGTAATATAATTTCACCTATGCAGGTTTTACCAGGATTCCTTGTACATCTAAGCCAAAAGCTATCTGAGCATATTGCTTGTATAATGATGTATTCATAATTTACTCATGAGTGGAAATTA